AGAATAGGCAGAGAATATTCATTAGGAATAACACAAATAATTAACTGGATGGTTTAATATACTCACTTGAGATCACTCAACAGGCCAAAAAGTGGGCGCCGAAACTTCCAGAGAGGGCGCCCTACGAGATAGCTGTATTGTAGAACACTAGCCTCCGCCGCGCTCGCAGATCAAAACCAATTCCAGCCGCAAAGCCGCTACACTAATTAGCCTGTAAAGGACATTTAAAAAAGGCAATAACGGCAGGTTTACTAGCTTACTCAACCGGTGGGGACTCAAAAAAATTGACCGACACTCGGTCCAGACACTAATCCCCCATATTCTTGGCTAATGCGCGTGCCTGGCTGCGTCTTTTCCTTTGTTCCTGCTTCCGCAGCGTCCTTTTGCCAACTCCTCCTGCCTTCACGGCGGGGTGACCACGCCCTCCCGTCGCTTTCGACGGCTCTCCAGTCGAAGTGCTTTGACGGGCACTGACTTGCGAAGGTAGGGGTTCGAGGGAGACGTTCTGCGCCAAGTGCCGCGATAGGTAATGATAAAAGAGCCGCACGTGCCGCTCGGGCAGCCACGATGTTTCATTATCCATTACTGCGTCCGCATACGAGGCTTCTGCCAAATCACTGGTCAATCCCGGTTCCGTCCCCAAGTTAGAGTTCGATGTTGTAGGTATCGGATAGGATTGACCGAACTTGACAGAAGCAGACGAAAGTAAAAGTGTTTATTCAGGCTAAGCCAAAACGAACAGCACAGAATGACACAAAAGAAAATTCCATGCGCGATGAACAACTCCAATGAATGGATTCAGCAGGCTAATAAGTGGGTGCCGAATTCTCAAGAAGGGGCGTTCTACGAGATCGATGTATTGTAGAACACTAGCCTCCGCCCGCAGATCAAAACCAATTCCAGCCGCAAAGCCGCCACACTAATTAGCCTTTAAAGGACATTACACGTCATTAAGGGCACGCTATTACTTCCTTACTCAACACACTTGCTCGCTTTAACAACTGGTGGAGAACGGGTTTGGCACCGCGCCAAACTCATCCCGCCTGACACGCCCAACCGTCCGCAGCGAACTACACTATACGTCCGATAACTTCCTCACCGGATTTCGCCATGTTTGTATACTTTTGATGTTGCTGCATGAGGGCTCAAGGGCCAAAACGTCAGCCCGGTAGAAGACCAAGAGAGTCGTCTCAATGGTTTACAAAGATTGAAACCGTCAACCATCCACAAAATTACTACTGAGATTTCTCGCATTCTGTGTTTCTCCACGACCCTCCCTTCGCGGACATTAAAATTGTTGAGCTTCAGGGCGAATTGTGTCCGTCAGTACTTCGGCAGTACTCCTCCAAATCATATCATCCGCTGGCTGATCAACCGGACCCGAACGCTTGTCGTCTTCTTTCGTGTGACTTCCAGCGGGGGCACCCTTGCCTCTATGACTCTAGTCGAATTCAGAACAGCGCCGCTCATAATGTAAGTCCCTTTGTATTTCACTTTGGAGTAAACCAACGATCTGATGTTCGGGTTCACGATTTTAGGTAATTGACCACTCGGTTGTTAGCCGGCTCGATCCCTTTCACAACATTGCCATTCTCGAATCGCCTGTCTTCCATCTCAACACTGTCGCTCGACTGCACTTCACATACACAGTGGAGGTACGTCCACCTCTTGTTACTAGTTTTTGACTGGTTTTTAAAAAGTTTTCATTCGGTGAGGGCTCTCAAAGTAGCACAATACCGGAGAATATTTTAAAAATGGACCACCATTTGTTGAAAAATTGGAAAGGATTGAATTTTTTTCCTAGGGAGAGGTCACCTTTTTCGTTTGCAACGACAGTGCCAATAAAGAGCTAGAAAGCTGCTTCAAAGTCGAAGGACGACAAGGCGAGGACTACATCGAGATGCTACCAAGTGACACAAAAGTAAGTGGAAGTTGACTTCATAGAGCACCAAACATCGAACATCCTACCAGCTACCCGTGAGAAGCCATTGTAATCCAAATCAGGGCACATTATGGTACTAGTCCCTATCGAGGGGTTGTATATGACCGCTTCTTGTGGAGGGGCAACGCATGAAACGTGCCCATGCACACTCTAGTTCGCTGCGGACGGTTGGGCGTGTCAGGCAGTATGAGTGTGTCACCCCGTCAAAGCCGTTCTCTGCCTTCTTGTTGAAACGCGCATGCGACAAAAAGTGGTAGAAAACGAGTAATACGAAGGATACAGTATTGTCACTTGCCGCTTCAACAACTGGTGGAGAACGGGTTTGGCACCGCGCCAAACTCATCCAGCCTAACACGCCCAACATCCGCAGCGAACTACACTTCAGCACTGAGTGCACTTTTCTTGAAATGGGCATTAGCTTTTGTGTCCCTTACGAGGTGGAGCTTTTTTCTGAAGGCTCAGGCCTACACCTCTCTGAGCGAGGAATTCCGCCGCCACATTCAAGCGTTAGTGCTCAGCGCTTGCTTCTAACGCTTACGGACAAACTATACTTCCACCCTCGAGATCCTGATCCTTGCCATAAGCCAAGAGAACGGTTGGTAGCTGGAAGGGTGCGACGATTTCGCCTTTGATTGGGTCCCCATCCCCCATCCCAGAGACGGGCAAGACAATCGTAATTTGTCGCGACGCCACGCGCGACGTACCGTGCGGTCGTGCGCGGCAAGTTCTCGATGTGCATCAGTTTACGGGTTGGAGCTCAATGAGTTCAAGCAAAGACAAGAATCCATCGAAGATTCCAGTCCTTTCAACACTCTTAACCAAATGGCACAGCCAGACAACTTGTCTGTCGGCGTCGTTTGCCACGCCCACCACGTCACCCCGCCCCCTCCCCTCTGACATCTGTATAGCAAGGCGCAACATTACTCATTCAGGTGTACCTAATCGCGAAGTTAAACGACAGTCCAGCTACTAATCAGTCCAGATCAGGCAGACTCAGTATACACAAGCTTCAGCTCACAGATATACAAGATATCAACGCTTGCTGAAGTGTAAACGCAGGGTTCAAAACTCGAACTTGTCACGACCACGATGAACTTATCTCGGACCTCCCAGCGCACCTTTTGCAACCACCACGGCCTTTGGATGCGCTATCGTTTGTTCTGTTGTTCTGTGTACAGCTCTATGTGTGACACTTGAAGATTTACTCGTACTAATTGCAAAGTGCAAATAAGAAATGATACAGGTGTTATCTCTACATTCATTTGCAATTAATTAAAAATAAATTATTTGAAATTATGGTTGAGTAAGCACAGATCAATAATTATTACGAAAAAGGTTTTAACAAAAAGGGAATACCATTAGGAAGAGGAAGACCAGTACATTGCAGCTCAGGCTCAAGAACAAATCCCCTTAGAAAAAAAAAAACGGCGCCCACGAATCACCTCAGATGATATCAGTTCGACTTGATGAATATCTCCTTACATAATTAAAACAGGCTTCAGAATAGCATGTAACGAACCCTACTTCATGAGAAACCACACAACAAAGAGGCAACAGTTAGGGGTTCAGTAATGTAATAAAACAATTCACGATACCGCGATGACAAGAGGCAAAGATTGCATCAACGGGAAGCACAGAAGTGATAACGTTTAGCCAACCTATGCGAAGACATAACGGATGTAAGGGACTTCTACATCAGCATCGGTGTTGGGATCAGTCGCCATCACCTCCAGGACCAAAGAGCGTTGATAGTTAGGCACCGGTCGTTTCGATACGTCCTCCACAACCGCCTTCACGCTGTAATAAATAAGAATGAGCGGCAAAAAAGGCAAAATAATCTCTGAGCAGATATGTTGAAATCAAGGAGGCCTTGAAGACAGTTCCCACGATCAAGTGATCCGCGATATTTACAGGGAGTGTACGTCTTCCGCCTCTCGGAAGGGCTATATGAAGAGGCTACACACGCGTGACTATTGCGCCCTATTAAATTCCACAATTCCACAGTACAAGACAACGGCTTACATGCGGAATTATATGTGTGCATTGTGTTGCCTGGAGCGTCGTAGGGTGATTTTTATGCTCGTCATTGACAATACCAGCTTGTCGACGCTTCTGCGAGCTCATGAGCTGTTCTGCGTTCTTTGGATACCTTTTGAAAACAGTATATCAGTGGCAGACCACTTCGCAACGCAAGATGGCCAGCTCAAGCAATGCAATCGATTTGGGCAAAAGCTCGTTCTGAGGCTCGTTCTGAGTCCTACTCAAAAGCCTCCCCAATCGATTCAACCAAAAGTACTGTGTCGAGTCAACTGGCTAGGAATGTTGGTGGGACTCGAATGTCCAAAATTCACCATACAGCAGCGGTATCGATGCGTTTTAAAGGACCTGACCTGGATACAGGACGGGTGGAGCGAGGAGCTTCCGACATACAAGAAAGGAATTTCTAAAGCGAAGGTCTTCCAGATTTTCATGAAAAAAAAACCGAAACCCTAGAAGCAATGGGTGCGCATCATGAAAGGCAAACTTTCGCCACCTGCTCGCGCAGTAACTGGTGACGCGGTTAGTTCTTATTTGTGAAGATTTTTACACCTGTTCCCAAAAACAAGTCAAACATTACATAACTTTGACGAGACATGAAACAATCCTAAAGGATAGCTATGTAAGCGCCTATTGCTAGGAACGATGATGTGGTCCAATGATCGGGTATATAAAGGATTTCCATCAAACAACAAAGAAAGGGACAGGACAGGATGAGAGGAAGAGCAGCTCTTTACGAAATCACAAAATTGCTTTGAACGCAAGTAACTTACTCCATAGGCATTCGATGAGCACGTTTCTTGGCATCCATGAAGAATGAGTAAATCAGTGAAACACCTGATGACAGCATGGTCACTTCAAGCCCAGTTTCATTCTGAAAAAGGTACAATTACTACGAAGCAACACAGTATTCTTCTAACCTAAATCGGTGACTATAGCAGCTCAGCAAAGGCGTGGTTCTAAAAAATACAGCTTAGCCACATTTAAGAAGAAATAAATCACAAGAGTAATTCAGATTCCATTCGGGTAGTCCTTGTGAAATAATTTAAACTATGAAGAACTATCGGAATCAGCCCTCACTAAGAGAAAGCGAGAATTTGCAAAGAATACAAAGAAAAAAAATCCAAGTGGCCAGTTTGTAAAGAGCCATGCTAAAATACTGTATCCAACAGATAAGGAAGCATTTCGATTGATTTTTCATTGAACGATTTCCTAACTCACACGGTAAGTTAAATAAGAAGTTGTGAAATAAAAACTACAGTAATTATTCTATTAAACCACCACATGATTGAGCTACAGTATGGCCACGTCTTTTTTGTGTCTGGAGGTCTCTTTACTGAACTCCAAAGGTTTTTCACCATAAGAATTGAACCAATGTAGTCCTCAGAATCTAAATTAGGAAAAAGGGATCACAATCTGAGAGGATCAAAATGAAGCATATGGATGCTGCAAGACTGCGGCCTTTCTTCTGTTGCAACTGTCAAAAGGTGGAAACGTCGGGCAACGCAGGACCGCCAATTGCCATAAAAAAGTTCACATGCCTCCAGCAATCGTGCCCACTGCCTTTGGGTCAGCCTTTTAATACTGCAACTCCAAATGGAGCCTCCCAGCCCCGGATCAACCTCGACATCACAGTAAGATCTTCTTACAGCTGTCTTGTTTTAGCCGTAAGGGACGCCTCTTGGTCGGAAACCCAGTATGTGCTTTGTCATTAGTATACCACCCGTCTTCGGTAATCAGATTAACAATAAAATGCCTCTGATCTGCGCTCCTAGCACGGAGGGGCCGTGTCGTATGTTGTTGTCACCGGCTTGTTGAATTTCAAACAATGAATAAGAATAAACATGAACAAAAGAAGTAATCGATGAAGAAAAGTTTTCACCTGAATCCAATCGACGGCTTCCTGCAATGTCTTCGGTCCTTGTATTTCTAATCTATCCCAAAGGGTGAAACTGGCGTCGTTGTACTAAAAACATGGTGTTTAGAAATATCAAAGGTACCCAAAGTGCGCCTCAGCGCTTACCTTCTTCACTGGTGCAGCAATTGGTTCAGAGAACCCAAAGAACGGCAAGGCGAGATTTATGAAAGCCGTTTTTGAAGCGATCAAGAGGCGGTTTTGTCGTGCCAATCATCTGAATTCGCTACATTATCGAAGTATCAGCAAAACAATGGAAAAAAAAATCAGTACGGACCTTGTAGAATTCAACACAAACGAGTCCAGCAACGGTGGCCGTGGTTGTTGCAATAGCAGGTATGATACGGCCCGCTATTTGCTTGGTCTGCAATGGAAAATGGAAAGGATAAGTTACGCAAGGGAGGTAAATAATCTCATACCTTCATGCGATCCGCAGGTTGAATATTGTAGTTTTCAGCGCGCAGATTAGATGCTGCGGTGATCATCTCCATATGGTGATTAGTATCGTCATCCTACAGAAAGAAGAACTTTAGAAAGACCTATAGCCTAGATCGCTGCGGACGAAGGGCGTCAGGGGGGATGAGTTTGGCGCGGTGCCAAACTCGTTCTCCACCAGTTGTTGAAGCGAGCAAGTGACAAGACTGTATCATATCGTTCGTATCACTCGTTTTCAGCGAGTTTTTGTCGTGTACCCGTTTCAACAACTGGCAGAGAAGAGGATCAGCGCCGTGGCACAGTTATACTGCCTGACAAGCCCCTTTATAAGCAGCGAATCAAGTCATGCAGCCATCAAATACGAACCTTCTCAAAGTCAATTGGTTTGAGCTTTGGAATGGTCTTCGTGTGCAGGCGAGCGAGTTTCACCTTCAGTTGCTCTAGCATAGCGTCAGCGTTGGCTAAAAGACAGAATGACTCCTAGCTTCAACAAAACAAGCAGTAAAAGAAGGCAGACAGAAAAAGGTCGCGCACATGCGATTGCGTCGTACGAGCGATCGCTTCGTAAGAGCGACGGAAACGCTGCCAAAGAGACCTACCATCTTCTGATTCAGCGTTTTCTTTGGCTTCGGCTTCCGTAACCGCGATTTTGACTCCCGCACGTGGTTTGAAAGGAGGTGGTTGGACAGATTTTGCAATCTACAAATATCATTTCTATATGAAGAATGCTCAAAATAATCTCAATAGTTTTTCGAATACTTTTTATCCACGAGGAAGAAGTCCACGTGTACTGAAAAAACGGAAACCAGAAGAAAAGGAGAAGACTAGGTGTTGAAGATCAAAAGGATTGTAGATACCCACTACGAATGCACTTCCTTCAAGAGAACAAAACCCACTTTCATTACAGCTTCTACATCTAGCAAAGGCTTCAGGCGATACATTTCAGCTCGCAGTATCGAGGCAGCATAAACAAAGTTACGATGTTCCTCCTTGAATCGAAATAATCAGTACAGAAAATAATATTGAACCAAAGTACAATCAGCAAAGCCTACCTGAGAGGGATCGAACTCAAGCACGTGAGGACATCGCTTCGTACCTGACCAGAACTTGGCTCCTTGATCAGTAACCTGGTCTGGCGGGAATGAATGAAGCATTTGAGCGATGTTGTCATGGTAGTTTTCCTTGAAAAAAAAACTTTACGTGAATAAGAATCCACACGTGATAATAAACAGACGTCACTTACCTGGAATAACATACGAGCCCATTTCACACAGTCTTCTGCTGACGCTGGTTTACTGTCGATGAGGGCATCCTTGACCTGAAATTCAAGTTTGTTTGAAGCAGTCATTGAAGGACGTACCCACGGTCTTGTTCGCAACGTAGTGCGACGTGTCGGGTTGGGGATGGCTGGGTATGCGCCACCCTTTGTTCACCAATTGTGATTACCCACCAGCTTAAACAATTGGTGAAGAATGGCTTAGCGCCGCACCAAACAACCTCCTTACTCAGACTAGGTCACCATCCGTAGCGAAGAAAAGATCTCGCAGATAAAGGACATTATTCACTACAATATTACAAACTACCGAAAGAAGTGATAAAGCAACCTGTCCAAGAAGCTGCGTTCTTTGGCTAACGTTCATCTGCTCGAGCCGTTCCAAGAACGTTCTTTCATCAGAAAGGAACTGATTGGCAGTTTCGGCCGGAGCAGTGAATAGACCTGAAGCGGCAGTACGAAATTATTAGTATCAAATGAAGAAGCACAATGAGAAGCTATTACTACTTCAAAACTCATACGATTACTTATACGAGTATGAACTGCAAAGTTAAATAAAAACGATTTTATGACCATTTGTATTTTTCTCCCCGGGTAAATGAATATGGTCGTTTGTAACGAAACATGAATATCAATGTACGTTTTCCGTGCTTCCTTTCCCTATCAGAGTTGCAAACCGATTCACTCGGAGCCCAACCGGCCTCTTTAGGAATTTTCTATGGGCTGATGACCGGCAAGTCTTCCTCGAGGCTGAGCGAGAAATGCCTCGGGGTTTCAGGTCCTATGGATTGATACGGAGGGAGTCGTAGTTGATCGAAGTCGTAGCCCTCTGTCGAGGTGTTCTCGTTTCGTGATTTTTTTCCAATTCAACATACTTATTTCATCACTGGCGAACCATAACTTGTTTTATTTGAAGGGCTCAAGAGTTTTTTCTCAAGGTATGCATTTTTGAATTTCGCTAGTAGTATGACTTGTGTGCGCTACAAATCTCCTTGTCAGGTTATCCAACCTTCTTGGGTTCCTGCTGTGTGCGGTAATTAAATGGACTATTGTCGAGGCTTACTTCCAATTTTGACTAGAAAACCAAAACGGAATTCAGTGTTTGGCTATACAATTATGAAGACGATTCACTCAGCCCTTTAACCAGTTTTGTACTTATGAAAGTCACTTCTGAGATAGACTCAGAAGTTTGCTAGACACAATAATATTCGTTGAAATTCAAAAGTACAGAAATTCCGACGCTGGATCGTTTGACCTGCGTTTTCAGTGATTGCCCCTAAAAATTAAGAAGCACCCGCGAAACGCACAAAACCCGTATCTCTACTTTTATGGTCGCTCAGAATGCTGCCGCACCCCTGAAATGGAAAGTGTAAACGCACTCTTACAATTCGGGAACAAGGGTGTAACAAGAATGTCAGGCTATATTCCGGAGAAGAGTCGCGAGGCGAAGTGGAAACTTGACTAGGGATCCTAACTTTTCTGCATCATGTTCAAGTTCAGTTGTCTGATATAATGAGCCAGCTCTGGGCCCACAGGTGTGAGGCCTCAACTGAGAACATGCATGAAAAAAGAAAGAGCATTTCCACCAAAGAATCGTTCAACAAAAAAAAACTTGCAAATGTACATTAGAGAGAAGGTCCAGGACCAGTGCCCAAGAAACGCCTTATGATTTATGGCTTTTATGAATGGCCATACAATCTAGTACTCTTTGTTAACGTTTATGATCTTTGGTAATAATTTGCACAACTGCTTCCTCACCCTCGAACAAGTCCCTGGCCCATTGGATGGTATGTTGAATCTCGTTGGGGAAGTTCTTCAGGGTGCAGATAGGAATATCCTTCTCAGGTGGGTCAACAGAAGATCTAGAATAAAAATAACTCATCAATGTAAAGAAGAATTTCCTAGGAGAGATATAAAGCGCCTACCCATAGGACTCAGTGAGGTGAGGATAGACCACTTGCGTGTTGCCCTTTGTACCCATCGTTCCCGATTCGAGCAATGGCAACCGATAATACACACATCTTCGATCCATATATCGACCTAAAGCTTATGGACATTTTTCCAGAACAAACTCTTCAGGAAAGTTATGAATTAACTTACGGGCGTCGACATTGTCCAGAGCATTTGCGACTCCATCAAGTTCCGCGAAGAAATCGTCATTGAATATATGCTCAGTGTCGGAACCGACTCTTTCAGCCAAAGCTTCAATGTTAACATCCTTGTTGAACACTTTAACCCCTCTTGCGGCCACAACGGACTTTTTGCTCTGAATTTAGAACGTTCAAGAACTTCATCTGAATCGCTTTTAGGGTCAGGATTGAAATACCCACTCCAACATCATTCATACGGAAGAGGAACTGTCTATTTAGATTACTAATTTCAATCTGATCCATATCCGTGATCTTGATCAAGCCATCCTTGCCACACGCAACACCCATCATCGCAAGATTTTTCAACAACTCGCATCCAATTGCGCCTACAACCAAATAGAAGATTTGAATAATATCGTTCAGACTTCGTGATCGCGCGACTATGACCGGAAGCGCTCCACCGCCAAGCGGTGGCCGGAATTTCAAGTTGGGCCACTTTAACATAGGTCTGAACGTGGCTTTACATATTATAACGCTCACCTGCGCCAACGACAAACCATCGCTGAGAAAAGAGTTCCTCCTGATATTTCCATCCAAAAACAGCTGCTTGCCCATCATATCGAGAATCACGCTAAACTAGCCAAGCTTCACGACATTACCAAATAATCTATGAATAACAGCGATGTCTTACAGGTTTGCAATCTTCAACAGTTAACTTGGCGTTGTCAAAACGACTCCAGTCTCCAGGGAGTGCATCATCACTGTCAAGGTAAAGCCATTGTTTCAGAGGGGTCATATGATGGGTAACTGCTTTCATCGCTTCTTGTGCAGCAATACCACCGACAACTGAGGCTATAGTAACCAGGTTGCCCATTGCCTAAAGATTTTAGATGGGAAATTGCTTGCAACAAGAAAACAGACTACTGACAACTACGGCGACTTTTACCTGGAAGCAGAACGACTTCAACAGCTTCTCATCCACAGTAGTACCCTCGGGTAATTCAGCCTTTAACAATTCGACATCTGCAGTGCATCGAGGCCTCGGACTTCGACCATGCTAAAAATTCCAATATTTCATTTAAGTGTCATTTCAATTCACTTGTGATATACCTTGTCTTCAAAGGCATACAAAGCGCTCCAAAGAGCATGCAGTTGAGTTGGATAATCAAATTTAGCAAAGTCCCAATAGACGAACTCCGGTTCGCGAAGTGAATCCGCAAGAGATTTGTGCGACACGTAAGTGGGTACCTGGAGCGAAAACACATTAAAATTCAATTCGGCACTTTCTTAATTTATCTGTGCGACCAGCGACAGCCCAAACAAAACAACTATGTAGTCAAGAAGGGTGAAAACAAACGAGAGTAAAGAGGTTTCTCAAAAAAAGTAGAACTCAATCAAACCATTGATCAGGGTAACACAAGCTTGGAAAACTATGATATCGTTACAAAAACTGTGGAAAAAACAATTACCCACTTTCACTTGCTTGACGCGGCCTCCTTCTTCATAGTTCGACATCGTTTTAACAACATTGCCAATATTGAAGACATGCGGTTCTGAAAACGCTCAGTAGCCATGCCCCTTAAAAGCACGAATGGAGCTTTTCATACTTTTGACAGTTATTTTGAGTGGAGCGCAATCGTTGAGCTGTGTCATCCCCTTGACTTCTGAGAAAGTGACGTGATCTCCATCTTCAAGACCATGCATTTGATTCTCCAAAGTGATTACGTCCCCGGTTTCAGCGTCCACATGTTCAATGAGAAACTACAAAGAAGAAAAATTAAATCAAATGTGTGATCAAAAGGTGTACAGGAAATCACCTCCTTCACTTGTTCGCCATTTGGATCATCTACCCTGAAGGAGTCCCCGAAATCAGCAAATATGTAGCTGTACAGGCCACGAGCGTCAACGATCAGTAGACGTTTCTGATGCGCTCTTGTCCATTGAGATACTTGTAATTGCACACTTCGCGCGGTATCAGTCAATACAACAAGCTGAAAGGATGATACGCTATCAGAAGCTACTAGAAACGGAATCACTGTGCTCTACTCACATCAAATTGCCTAACATCATCTTCAGTGAGTTCATTCATCAAGAGATGGCAATTGACGCTGTCGTTCAACTCAGCCAGCCTGAATCATTCGTTAGGTACGGGGGAAGCTCAGGGTAATCTATGTTTTGTTCATAAACCGACAAGTTTTGAACCCTAGCAACTTTGGCTGAAACCAGCTTATGTTCTTTTATGCGGCTCGAATTTTCGATATTCCATCCATTTGTAGTTCAAAATGAAAACTGTCTTCACTACGTAAGTTGGTAAAAGCTACTTGGGAAGAATAACTTTAGCAGACCTATCGGTCCTCAAGTGGCTCTCTACAAATGTTGGTTCGAACGTTCCGGGAACTTTTACAGTCTAACACTTTTACATCTACTAACTACCATTCAATTTTGAATCTACTATCAAGAAAATCCGACCGCAAGTACCGAGAAAATATCACTTTCGTCTGCTCAGCAGTTCCCAGCATTTGAGAACTCACCTCTCGAAGCTCGCAGCAGCACGATTTTTGCCGATATCGTTTTCAGTAAGGTAATACTGCGCAGACAAATCGAGCCATCGAGTTTCTTTGGTATCATGAAGAGTAACATTTCGTATTCCTGAAAAAGCACGGCATTGATTGCAGACGAAAGATAAGAAAGGAAAAGAAACAAAAAAAAGCTGTGAAGAAAAGAGAATCCACCAAACAATGAGTACCTCCAAGTATAAGGTTCTTTGCGACTTCAACACCTACTCCTCCCAAACCGGAAATAATTACCGAAGCTTTCCTAAGATGAATCATCGCAGATTCTCCGAGAGCGTATCTGAAAAATAATGCTTATCAAAAAACTAAATGCAAAACAGGACGTATGGGCATGCAAAAAAAAGCTATGAAGTACATTTGTCTTGAATAAAGGTTCGTATCCAGCGCAGCTGCATCGGTGTCCATTGCTTCTTGACCATTTTTCTCAGAGGCCATTGCTTTTGGACCAGAATTCGAGTTGTAATTCTTTACACCAATAGAAGGGTCCTGCAAGGGAAAATGTGACCTAATGGTTATAAAGTAAGAAATAAAAGTCAAAAATAAACAGTTGTTAAACAAACAGTGCACCAAGGGTGCAAAAAAAAGATAGCCTGGAGGAGATTTTTTATTGCCATTCCATGAAGACAGTGGAAAAGTTTTCATTAGGGATGCGCAAAAGAACACGACCAACGTTTCAAATTTAGTAAATATTTCGAATAGTATAAAAAGTGTGGATGGAAGTTTGAGTACAAATAGCTTAGGCTCACGGGGTCAGTATAAACTTCATACGCAAAGAAATGCGCGAGAATGGGGCGACAAGTCACCTTGAATAATTCAGTTCCCTCCCAAAAACGATAATGTTGCGAGGCCATGGCCAGGAAAACGTGAATGATTGATGATTATCTTATCACCGACTACACTGGACCAGGATCATAAACTGTGCAAAGCCGACTTGCAATCATGAAGTGAACGAGCGTTCTACCCGGAAAATGACACGTTATTTCTCCATGTACTGAGGTAACTCCTCCAATACCTGGTAAAAAAAAGATAATATATAATAAATAAGCAATTCATTCATCTCTGCAAAAACCTTGCCATGTGTGGCGTACGATTCAAGCCAAAGACGCAAGTTCTGGTCATAAAAAATAGTACGTCCATATGAATCAGCGGTTGTGTCGCGGCAGCATACATGTACGCTTCAGAACGGAAACAGCAGGAAGTTGCCCATGCTAATGGAAGTTTCATAGGCTCACTCAAAATGCACCCCGCCTTGTGTGAAAGTGGGCACGCTCGAAGAGAAACCCCACAACTGTCTATTGTGGATAGTGGCGTTCAGTTGCGAACCCTATAGTTTCTGAGTGATTATTTACGGAAGAAAAAGAAAGAAAAAAATCATGGGGAACACCCTAAGCAAGGATATGGCCGCCTCAGTGCACGAGTTCACCGGACCTCCTGTTAAACGCCAAGAAAGTTATATCCTGCAGCTTCTGGGTTATTAATAATTTCTACGCGTCATTCACTGCTAATGGCATCTAATAGTGAAAAAAAAAACGAAAAAAAAACTGGAAAAATTAACTCGTGATAAAAAACCATCGAATTTTGGCGGGCGAGATACCTAAAGAAGCGTCCGAAGTGTTACTTGTGAGAGCCACAACACCTTCGATATTCACTGTAGAAACGCGAAAAAAGGATAATCTTAGAGACTGCGAACCAAACTACTTGTACAAGGAAGGAAACGTACGAACTGAGCGCGGTAACTGTCTTTAAGGCAACCCAAGTGTATTAAAACACTAAAGTCTGGAAATGGGACACCGATGACGAGTGATAATGCACATATACCACATAGGAGGCTCTTAAAATTGAACCGCTGTACAGCCGTTATCTAGAAAGTCAGCAAATGGGACATTTGTGCATATCCAAACTCCCGTTTCGCACGCTTTTTGCATTAATTTCTATGCACGTTTTAGGCATTGACTCTCATGTATGGTCGCACGTATGCTAGTTGTTTTAGTCGAACAAAAAATGATGCACAACAAGCAAAAGATCCAAACCGCAGCAAAAACTTGGCCGCTTTCAATGTATTAAAAAACTGCACTTTTGGCTGACTATGATGATGGGAATAATCATTTAAAACTGTATCACAAGTTCGAACGAATCCCTGAAGCGGGAACTTCCGTGGAATTTGTAGAAGAGAAACTAATACCGATAGCTCGCTATCTACTAGCCAAATCACGGCTACATTTGATGGATTTGTCTGAAAGCATGAAGACTAATATCTCTTGCACCCCTTCGATTACAAGATTCCGGTTACCTTTTTTTTCTAGAAACAAAGCCGACTCGTTTTGTCATGGTTAGTGTTGCTTTTCGCCGCATTCCAATAGTTAGTGTACGAATACAGGTTAGTAATCGGCTAACCACCGTTGGGCTACGACGTGGACCCAAGGTAAGTATCGACCAACGCAGCACTTCATATTTATCAAACTAACGTGCTAAGAAAGCGTTCATAGTTTGCGATTTGGTCACTAGCGCGACCTCAGTGACCGAAGTATGAACACACTATGAGCATTCCACCGCCAAGGCTGCCTTCTACCCTGTCAACTTAATGACTTTTATGTCATAGCTTCACAGCAGTTATACGTTTAATGTGATGAGTCGTTTATGCGATATCGTCTGAGCGCTGCTAGGCTGCGTTCACACTTGCGTCAGCACGGTTTGAGCGTACCCTGCATTTTCAGCGACTGCCCGATAAAAGTTCAGAACGGCGCAGTTTGTCGACGGGGGGGGGGGGCATTCTGCTTTCCATAGATGTGCCGACCCATCTAGGTAGCCTTTTCTCGAGTTGACACGTTTTAGGATGGTGGCTAGACTATCTTGCACCAGCTTCACAAGGGTTCACAAGTTTTACCAGGGTGAGATTTGTAAACCGGAACTAGGGAAGCAATGGTAGTACAAAATGCCCCCCCCCCCCCGTCGACAAACAGCGCCGTTCAGAACTACTCGCGAGACGCTCAAAACGCTGGATCTATACCTATGCCTTCCCAGTCGCCTAAAACGCTGCCGTAAGCTCGAAACGCTGACGCAAGTACTAACGCATCCCTAGAACGGGAAGCGGCGCTGGTAAGGAAATGGTTAGCACATTGGACCGGCATAAGACGCGTGTCTCCCTAATTGGGCTTAACTTTTGAGCCCATAAGTGATTACCGTGATGGCGCAGAATGACACGACATCTCACGAAGGTTGTTACAGGATCACGTCAGTGAACTAGGTCATTAAGAACGTCGAAAAGGAACATCAGGAAACAACAATTGATTGATATACTAATTTGTTGATATAAGGGTATGACGTTACAGGTGCACTACAATAAGAAATCATTGACAAAGGGATGTTTAGCACTGCAATTCACCAACCTCATATAAATCACATACGCTAACACCGGATAGCCTCTCTTCAGTACCACTAACATTCAAAAAAGAACACTCAAGAAATTTGGCCTTCACCACTGTCACAAACTGCGGAAGCGGATTCGAAATTATAGGACTCAATCAGCCAGAATAAAACTGGCATTACCTCGCGTAATAAGTGCCTGAACAGTGAAGGCAAGCGTGAACGAAGCAGAAGGGTATATTTGCATTACTTTGGCAAACAAAACAGTTTTTTGACCTTATATGATTCATCAAACCTTCTTTCTACGAAACTGCTATCTTTCCGCGACGGCGAAATGAGAGGAGATGGAGCGCTGTTCGGTCTAGAGGAGGAATTTTCAATCGTTAGTTTGCTAAGGATACCGTCGAAATTGCGACACAGTTTCCTGAGCAAACAGCCTTCTAGTTGTATCGCTTAACTGTACCCTACTTAAATAGGAATACTAGACGACGACCATCGAAGTGTATCCCAAAACGTCCAATTATCGTATGTCTCAAAAGGCGTACTCATGCGAACTAAGAGGACTAGGACATATTCAGCATCACAGCCCCACAACGACAAAAACCCTCATAGTAGCGCTTTCTGCATGTGAGCTGTACCGCTATAGCGCTTACTCATCATCAAGTCCGTTCCTGCTGATGTTAATGCGTCCTATCAAGAGATAGTTCCTGCTTAACATGTCACTAATCATCTGCTGCAATTCTATTCCTGTCTGATCGATCAACTCCTCACTTCTCAGACGGCACAATAGAGTAAGCCCTAGTTGTATTCATTAGAGGCAGTCCCCCCTCAAGCATTGATAGGCGCTCTTCCTTCTACAAATATCCTGGTCCTCAGTCTCTAGGAATATCCCACTTTCGCGGGTTCACAAGAAGAGCGACGGCACCATGGCCCTCATAAGTGGCAGTTTTGACGCCTCCCTGATTGCCCCGCCCATCAGAACTTGAAGGTTATTTCTTGTAACGGGTTCTGCTCTTACAACGGTTTTCCGTTTCTTCTTCACTGTTAGACGGTATTAACATTGCATGACGCGAGGAAACGATTAGCTGTCTCGAGGCAGCACGACAATGACTTACGGAAATCAGCCAATCTATAATCCCTGCTCTTGTCCTACCATAGTACCAATTTACCGTCCCGGAGGGTAGAAGGCTTGGTTGGCCTGGGCGGGAGTCGACCCGGGATTGAACCCAGGACCGCGCGAGTGGTAAGCGCGCCACTTGTCACTACACCACCTCCTCCTCGAGAGACTACTCCTATGGAAAAGATGGAGATAACGGACTTGTTTCTCTGATAATGGAGAAACGCTACACTCGTTCTTTTAATGATTACGCAATAAGAAATTCAATGATTCATAAACAGCGAGTCACGTTCACATCTTGCAATACTGAAGAAACACTGAATTGGATAATCCGCCTTCAGAAAGGCATACGTGTCGATTCTGAGAATCAGCGAACCCGCTAAAAAGGAAGGATACGTATAGATTGAGTTTGACTAGTGGCGCTAGGTGTAAACGAGACATCAGGGACGCGACTAGAAATGTTGGTAAAACATTAATAATTCTGTACTTCGTCAAGATCCCGGGCACTACCCCTGAGGTACTTTTACAAACACTTGTTAACATAATGGACAATGATACGAACGATACTGTACGCAGGGAAACGGCCAGCTTCATTGAGCGGATACGTCGCACAGAGCGATTAAATGCGGCTGTTTGGGGAAGGCTTATTGCCAGGGTACAGCTTCTTTGTGCAAAACCCATCAGGGGGTCCTACCTAGTCGCCGAGGAGGTGATGTTTTTAAACGCAAGAGCGGTGTGCACCGAACAAGTGTCATGGATAAGTTCCACAAATAGGCCCGCTCGTATCGACCTTCCGAACCCTATGACAACATCCACTTGCATGGACCTAAAGTATTTGCCCATAGAGTAACACCTTTCCAACTTCTCCACGTGAGAGCGCAAAGCACGGCGCCCCCTCACATGAAAGATCGATGATCTTTTAAACTCAGTCCAACGATATTATGGGTTTTAAAGGCATATCAAGGTTCCAAATGAGTATTCTTACAGGGCCCGAAGCAGTTGAACTTTCGACCCATTCAGAATTTCGCCCATCGAAAACCCATAACGGCTGGTCATCAAAAAAAGCCATAGCGCCGCTCAGAAAGGGGATATATTGCGCGTTGTAAAGGTGTATTTGTTTCAGCAAAAGATAGCGCACGAAAGAAGTGATTATCTTCCTGCAGTATAAAAGCTCGCGTGCGGTTTGCCATGACTCTTTCTCTAAAACCTATCCAAAACGTTCTTTGAAAGGGAGGGATTCAGATTACCGTCGTAAAAGAGCGCAACAGTAGAGATATCGCTTTAAAGACACATGGTACGCTCAAACACATTGAGGGTGTATGAGACTATCAGCCCCCAGCTGTCGATGTGTCGTGGTCCCCCGCCCAAAAC